TCGTGAGCCGCTTAAATCAGTTTTGCGCGGCTCTTGAATCAAGCTTAGACTAAAATTAGTAAATATAATTCCGTTAGAATCGTAAGATAGTGTTTTTATCGCCGTAGGTTTCAGTCGTTGTCCAATGATTGAAAGGGTGGCGGTGATTTTTAGTATGTGTAACCTAAATTCTGGAGCCCCTGTGGCCATGTTCCAGAAGAAAAATACTCACTAACAAAAGAGTGTGCTAAGAGACTTATTTAAATCTTTTGAACTACTTATATTGTAGTTATTTATTATTTATTTATTTATTATTATTTATCGACCCCTCAGGGGCATTAGTTTAGTACAGATTATAATAATAGAAATTACATAATATTACAAGGTAAGAAACTTTACATTGGTGCACGAATAAAGAATAAGATAAAGAAAATATTAACAAGTACAATTTTTTAGTTTTAGAATTAATGATGGCAAAGAATCGTTAAAAATATCAATATTTGACATATTATTAATAGATCGACAAGCACGATCAAGAGGGGCTGCGTAACCATAGTTAGTGGTGTGAAAATTCGTTTTAAAAGTTTGGGGGTTTCTGGAATAAAAAGAAGGAACGGCTAAAGATAATTTAGCAAGTAAATCAGGAGCATCAATATCATTGTTCAATAATTTGTAAATAAAGGTAACATCAAATTCAACACGTCTATCAGTTAGAGATTTAAAAGTATACGGGTTAATCTCGCAACGAAATGTGCTCATTTTTATAAATTTATTTTGTACTTTATTTATTCGATTAATATGTAATTGTTGATGTATGTGATATCATTGTACACAAAGGTTTCATAGTTAAATTCATTAAATCTAAATATAGTAGTGTAAAAAATTAATTGATATAAAATTAAAAATGTTTCTTAATTTTAAAACGTCGCTTTACAATGTGGCTCGTCTCGAATTAGCTTTATAAATCCAAAATGAAGGTTTGTGGCCACCCCTGATATATATCATATTATACTGCAGGTGGGAACGTTAATAAGTATTAGTACTGTGGAATTTTATAGAAGTGATAATCGATAAAACATATTGTATACAAACATGCACTTAAAAAATTTCAAATATGCAATCATTCAAAATTCACTATTATACATTTTATAATTTATATTTTTTTCTGCCGTTTTTCTAGTTAAATCATACTTAGTGGCGCAGGTTACTCGTAACAACAACATTTTAGTAAATATAACTATATATAGGTACTATTATTTTTAGTAAACTAGGACCAAATTTCTTTTGGCAAATTTCTTGTAATAAATATAAATTTACATCAATATTTATATGTGTACAATCTATCGAGTATAATTCACCAAGCAATACTCATGCACGCCCAAACTGTTTCCTTTAATAATATGTATTTATTCAAATTTTGATTGGTATTTTTAAATATTCTTCAGTACCATGTTTTTAATTATTTCGATTTTTAAGTACAAAATCGTCTCAATGATTGACGGTAAAAAAGGTCGGTTCTCATTTGAAAAAAATAAATGTTGGTATCACCCGGTTAGGACGACCACATTCCTTAAACAATACAACAATTAATCTAATAGCATTTGTCACATTCGAAAAACAGTCGTTCAGCATACTCATTTTTAGCTAATTTCATGTCTCCTCGATGAATACATTAATTTTTCGTGACTTGTCATCCAATATTATATATTTGGGGGGGTAAGCCGTTCACCACAGCTACCACCTACTTTTGTATTATACTTATAAACCATACTGTCATAAATGCACAAGAAAATTGAAAATATTATGTACATATATCGACCTTTAATGAAACTATACAGAACTGAAATAACTGAATTATTGAATAGAGTGCGGATACAGTACTCAGAAATATCGACTGTAAAAGTTGTATTCACATGCTATCACATGCTATTATTCAATGCAGTCATGTCATGTTAAATTATTCCCAACGAATCATACATCGGCATATTTATTACCCAACCCAACCTAATGGTTAATTCAGAATACTTTAAGATTTTAAAAATACTCGAAATTCGTATACCGCAACGGTATAATAGGTTAGGTTAGGTCAACTACAAGGCAGAAACATCCCTGGAATACATCTCTACCGTAATTTTTACATATTTATCTCACATATTGCACGCGGCGTTTATCTCGGATTGTAAAGGAAATTTATGCCAGGTTTTCCATTTGTATAAGCGGTACCACATCCCCCCCCCCCCCACATAGATAATATTGTGACGGCGACAAATTTTATCTAATTCTGGAATTGAAAAATAAAATAATTTTCAGTTTTATATTAGGTATACTGCAGGTCAATATTGTACGTTTTAAACATGATATTACACTAGGTGACCGCACGTCCTGTTTTTTACAGGATTGTCCTTTATTTCAGCGTTGTGTCCTGTTGTCCCGACAAACTTCAGGACGCTTTTTGTCCTGTTTTTTTGGAAAATTAATTTGAAAACGAAACTTACGAAAGTAATGAATGATGATTATAATCGTAATCTTGTGATTGTCTGAATTTATCAGTGTGGGCAGTATGTCCACGAGTTATCGGAGCTTATCGGATTGACTTTTATCGGACTATGCTTTCGATTCGATTCTGTTTAGTCTGCTTTAAAACCACGAAAAATCGATTTATATCACTGAAAATACGTTTTTTTAAATATTTATTGAGCCGTATCAAGCAGTAGTATCAAAGTATTCAATGGCTATTCCAGGAACTAACGCGTCGGTAGAAACTAGAAAGAGTATTTTCAATTACGATTGTTTTATGGACAGATGAGCAAAATCGATTTCTTGTGGACACAATTGGATCGCGGTAATAATCTTAAAACAACATTTTAAAAATGTTTCGTGTACAGAATTTCATACAATTTATTTAGAACACCCACGATTATTAAAAGTAATTACTTCTTCAGAAAAATATGAAAAATCAAATAGTGAAGACGTCTCTGAACAATCGTCATCAAAATGAAATGATAAGTTTTTTAAAAAAAAGTTAAGTACATGAATTTAATCTTATACAGTGTTATTAAAAATTATGTTTTTTTCACAATTAAAAATCACTAATATATATATTAAGTATTATTAAAAAAAATTTAATTATTATTAAATTTGTTTTGTATTTTTTTTTTAAATATGGTCACCCTATATTACACAGGCTATTGAGTTTAATATTATCTGATGACCATAAAGTGCTGGACCGAGTTCTGTTATAGGGTAGGTATATTTACACCAATCAGAAATTCGATATATACCGCAATGGTGCAAAGAAGAGAAGTTAAGGTGATCATGGTAATTTATTATTTATATTTTAAGTTATTAATTTTAGTGTGTTTGTCAAAATCTTTTTTTTACATTTTTACACATTCATCTCAACCGTTTTTATGCAGTTGTCACTGGTCATTGGTCAAGCACCGAGAGACCTAATTTTTAATCGTTCTGGGCGCAGACAGAAATTAATTATACACATCAGCTTTTATTATCGCTCGATTCTTCTTTTTCATTATGTATTTTTAACGCTTAAACTCTCCAAATATGTTTTTTTTTTAGTATTTTTAAATAAAGGTCAATTTGACCTCGATTTCGTCTCGAAAACAACGCGTTCACGTCACCATGTAGAATGTGTGTGATTTCAAATGAAGTAAAAGGTTGGTAATACAATTAAATATTATTGTCGTATCATATTGCGTATTATAGTACCCAAGCGATGTTCATAGCTCATAATTAAGGCTGTGGATTTGTAGGAAAGTGAATTTTTTTTGGTGATTGTGAAAATAGTAGCTTTGTAAGTACATAATTTGAATTATGTAACTACGAATCCATTTGTGAAACTTTTATTTTGCATTTTTTTTGTATTTTTAGGTCACATTTTCCTTTTTTAGTGAATTTTCAGGTATTTTCAATGAAATTCCATCGATTGACGTGTTTGAAAAACATTTTTTTTTTGCCCAATGCAATAGTAAAGTCTAAAGATGGTACCGCAAATAAATATATTAAATATTATACTAATGTATAATATCATAAATATAAAAACTAAATTAAAAACCATTTTAAGTGAATCTTATATGCAATAGTTTTTGGCATTTTATATTGTATTATTTGCATTTTAAGTGCATATTTTATTGCATTTTTTTGACATTTTTTAAGGTTTTTTAGTGCATTAAATTTACAGCCTTAAATAAAAATAAAGTAATATTATGACATCGTGTTTATGAGAACTATCACATCTCATACATTTTTTTAAATCTTAGAGTGTCTGATCATGAATATTCTTATATTTTCCTGATGATCACAAATATAATATTAAAATTAAATTGTTTCTTTATATTTATAAATACAAAACTAGTAAAAATGTCAATGCATTAAATAAGTTTACAACGTACTTCTCAAAGAATCCAGCAGTTTAGTATTCGTTCTATATATTGTTTCTAGCAGCCAAAATTCAAAATTCTACACACTCTGCTTGCGAGACTCAAATTAGGTCAGTCAATAAGTCCAACATAACCTACTCGGGTTAATGAGTTTTTTTTTTTAAAACGAACGCCACGGTTAATTATTATATGCGATTACAAAATAAGCTAGAAAAAGGACTCGGCGTGGGAAAAAAAGCAGAAATGGCCATCATAATTATACAGTTCTAATAAAAGAAACCAAATTTTCGAACGAAAAATAAGAAAACTTTGATTACGCGCAACACGACGTACCTATTGTTTTTATTTTTTATTCATTACTTACGCGAACAAAGTTACATTGTTTTTAGATTTGTATGATTTTCAAAGTTGGGCGGCGACTTCTTTCGCATGAGTGATAACAAAAAAATAACACTTTTCGGTTTTTTCCCACGTGAAACCTGCAGCACTATTGTGAGTCACTTTAGATCGGTATATTTCGTTACTCAAATGCATTTGAATTTTTTTTTTTATTTTTTTAAATTTATCTAGGACAACACAAACTCCTTGAAAAGCGTATGTGCAGGTACACTGAATGTTGTTATCCTAAACGACATTAGTACAACGTGTAGTCACTTTGAACAACAGGTATCCAAAGCTGTTGCGCCTCACGCACAGCACGTGCGTCCGCATCCTGGACACCGTGTCCAATGACGGTATGACCAGGTCGGACTTGTCAACGGTCAACCGGGAGAACAGCACGGCTGAGTATGAAGTGCTAATGCACAGCCCAAACAGTAACGTGACCCAGGATACGACTCGCACGGAACAGGAGTTGGTGTTGACGGTGTGAAGTCCTGCGAACAATAATAATCGTGGTCAAAACGGAGGCGTGTCCCGCTCGCAGGAAAAATTTGAAAGATTTGATAATATTTTAAATTCTTATCACATATAATATGGGGTTGTGTTTGATAAACGATAAACGTACGATTATTTTGTTTTTGATTTAAAAATATTTATTTTAATAAGCATATTTCGGATGTTAAATCAGCAGGCCCACCTGCTGGACATGCATCCGAGCGTGTAACCACTAACCGCTACGCACTAACCACTATGGCAGTAAAAACCGTAAAAACCGGGTGTGCAAAGCAGAGCCGTAGCAATGTTTATTAGCGCTCCTGGCCATTTATCATATTTCCGCCCTTATAAATTTTTTAACCCCCCCCCCCCTCACACACACATATAAAAGACTTATGCATTCGCTATTTTATTTTTAATAGTAAAAATTATAATATTAATAAAAAAAAACAATAGTAAACACTGCCAAACTTATTAAAACCTTATAAAATAATCAAAAAAAAATTATTTTTTACATTTCAAAATTTCACTTTTCGTGCTTTTTTGGTAGTATATAATTAAACTCCACTTTAGAAGGTTTATATTTTTTTTTATTAAGAGTATACTAGTACAGTAGTACATATAGGTACTACACATGCGTTTGTTGTCTCCGTATTACAAACCTACGACATAGCAAATTTTCGTTCACTAGTTTCAATAATGTGCTGTTAGTTTTTATATCAATGGTGATGGTCAATTATTAATATTAACTATGGATCTATTATTAAACTTTTAGTTTAAAACATTAGCTGTGCTTAAGCGTCGACTTTTATTCGATATTTAAATTTCCAAGCATTATATAAAGTATCACAAATTAAAAATGCTCCTATCTCGCTTGAAAATTAAAATATGGAATAAAATCAGACGCTTAAGCATATATAATGTTCTTAACCAAAATTTTAATAATATGTCAAAACACTCTAAATATAAAAACTCACAGCACACTATTGTAACTAGTGAACGAATATTTGCTATGTCGCTCGTATGTGAAACCTATAACAAAAGGATTGGTAACGTCCAGATATAATTTAAAAAAAATAAAATAAAATCTTTTAAAATATAATTTAAGAAATAAATTTATATTTTCAATAAGGAAATAAAATTTCTCAGACTCATTAAATTTATGTTTAATCATTAAACTGAATTGAAGATATTTTTTTATCGATATCACTATCAAGCTAGTTGTCCAAATTACTCTATAATAATAAAGATAAATATCTAACCTTAGATTATCAAAAATAGTCAGTAGGATTAAAACAAATAAAATAAAATAGATACTTGGTGTGAACTGTGAAGATAATTTTTAAGACATTATTAGACTAATATTAATTATTATTTCTTTTTCTTAACTCCAAATAAGATTTAGAGGATTTTAAAATAATTAATCAATTAATTGAATAAACGTATTATTTTTTTTAAATAGGTGAACGGTGAACAAACTATCTTAATGTATTACTTAAATTCAAATTTGATCGATAAAAACCAACGAATGTTAATAGTGACTTCTTGTATACCAGTATACCTACTAGATATTTACTATTTAGTATTTACATTCTTATAAACAATTATTTTGTATAAACCTAGGTTACAACTTAATACTTATATTAATATATTATGAACTACAATTAAGTAAATTCATTTAATTTTGTATAATTATAATTAATAATAATTAGGAATTCACCGTAGAACTGTTGTGGAAGAAAACTGACGTATATAAAATTACTAAATATTGAAACAGGAGTATCTACCTACCTATAAATATGACGACTGACGGGACTAAGGGAGTCTTTAAAATATAATAAATTTAGAATCCTAATTTTAACTACATGCAGCTAATATTTAATAATAATGATCGATTTTCAAAACTACCATGTTGATAATTGACTTGCGTGCCGAGATGGTTGTATAAGCAGCAGTTTAAACAACTATCAACACAAATAAAAACACACTATTATCGGCTACTAACTGTTCTTAAAATATCACTCGGGTACCCGGGCCTAATATTACGTAATATTATAATGAGTTATTATTCTTAAACACCTGTAAATAATAATTGTAATATATTTGTATAATATACAATACCTACACGGCTACACTATAAAATAGTAGGTAGGTATATAGTCACTAATCACTATAATGTACTTATAGTAATAAAACTATTTTGTGCATATTCTAGGGTAAAATGTAAATTATTAAGAATACCAATAAATAATAATAACATATGTATATATATATTGTATGGTATATTTTATTCTGGATTTTGCGCCCCTTTTTCGTTGCGCCCCTGGCCTGGGCCAGTCTCGCCAAGCCCTAGCTACAGCTCTGGTGCAAAGTGTACACCGCACACAGGCCTCGGGCCTCATAATATATCGAAGGGCCTCAAAAGATCTAAAGACTAATATTAAACTAATATAAAATTATTAAAATATATAAATTATTCATTAGGTATTGATTTGGAAACGAAACCAATGTTATTTCATTTTTTTTACATAGCATGGAGTAGTGATCACTGTTTTTAGATTTCGAGAGGAACGAACAAATGTATTGATTTTACAAGATGTGTATAATTTTTTTCATTTCTGTCGGTCATCAACATTGAGTAGTAAAAATATTCCGAATTTCGAGATCAGCATTTTTTCTGTTAGAAAAGTGAATCTAGTTGGTACTTTGGAGATCGAAACCGAAATTTTTAGTTTTGGATATTAAAAAGCGTCAATAAAAAAAAAAATTTCATTTTTACCTAAAACCAAAAATTTTATTTTTTGGTATAACTCGAAAACTAATAACCGTAGACCATTGAAGTTTTCACCAAATATTTATAGTAATATTTTCAATAAATTACATTTTAGAAAATTTTTACTTTTTTGAGTTAGTTATAGCCTTGAGAAATTGTTTTAAAATTATAGATTATTTTAAATTAAAATTTTTTTTTTGTTTAAGCCCGAATTTTTGTCTGCTGACTTTAAAAATTGCAAAAAAAGTTTTTGAGGTGTGTATTGAAAAAGATAATAAGGGGCCTCAATATTTTGGTTTTGCACACAGGCCTCAAGTAGCCTAGTTACGGCACTGCACTATGCACATGTAAATGCTCCGAAAACGGTATAAAATATGCCTAGTGGTGTAAGTATGTAACTGTATAGGACAAGCATTGTTCAATAATTTGTCTTAATACTTGCAAACGAAAAATGTTCCCTTATTTTATGTTAAACTGTCTGCAATAATCATATTTTGTTACTTTTGACTTGTATCTATAATATTATGCATAGTATAATATGATATGCGCAATGCACGAGGTGCGAAATATTTATTTTCGTAAACATTATTTTTCTGTAGGTGGAATATAGTCATCAGATATATTGACAATATAATATATTTTTTAGTAATTTATATGATATGTTTTCGAATATTGTTGAGCCACTTATGGGCAACAAAAAAACTCGTGGCTGAATTTTGATTTTAATTGATCAATAGTCTTGCAGAGATTGTAGGCTCAGAGGTAAAAATAAACCTATTTTGTGTATAATGGGTACTATAAGGCACAGTTGATAAGAATTAAAACCGTTGAATTGTGTCACTGCGCGCTGTCTATGTCTGTTCAGCCTTTATTGTTTTCGAGGCAAACTATATTATGCGATTTATCACACTGCAGACTCCAAAATCGCCATTTGAGGCCTACCGCTGTTTCGATCTAAGTTAATACGCTTGTTAATTTTCATAAACACAATATGTAACAATAACCACTGATGTACCTTGACTGCAAATCGATCCCCACACGACGAAGAAATAGGATATCAGGCTAGGAGATTCGATGGCCGGTGGTTGTTGCAATTGTACCTGCTGCACGGGCACGTCGTCCGCCGACGGCATTATGTGTCTGAAACACAATAACTACCTATTATATTATTCGTGCGAATACTTGCGGATATAAAGGATGTTTCCCATGCATATTCGACACTATACAAACTACAAGCCAAATCGAGAAGTTTTCACTGGGTCATATAGATCATTAGCTGCTTCGTATTACCTATCACCCCTTCTCCACCAACTGTCTTTTAAAAAACCCGCCCTTGTACAAAAAAAAAGATTTATTTCCATATTATTATATATGATAATTTTAATTATATATTTTCCGTCTCGTTCATTCCTATTGCATTGTTGAAAAAAGAGAGAGAGCCGCACTCGCAATTGTAAGATCTCGAGTTCTCCTAAATATACCTAAATATATTATAACAGTGGCGGCGCGAGGTAAAATTTATATGTGGGCGAAGTAGACTTAAAGAGGCCCTTTTTTTTTAAATTTTTTAATAAACATTTAAGTAACAATAGTTATTTAATAAATATTAAGATTTACAATTTTTTAAAACAATAAACTCTAATAAATTATTAACCTTTTATTTGCAAAGTAGTTAATATAATTTTATTTATACATAATTATAAAATTAAATACATATTTTTTTAAATTAATAATACTGTTAGAAGTTTCATTTTTTTTTATCTACAAGAAATGGACTTTTCGGACTTTTCTTTAAGTGCTATACAATTGTAACCAAAAACTAAATTTGTTTCCTGTTATAACAATTTAGAATATGTAATTTTTATTTTGCATTTTTTTGCATTTTTTGCATTTTTTGTGTTCAATGCAATTTATTGCATTTTTAAGGTCATTTTTACGTTCATTTTGTGTATTTTAACTAATTTTTGTTTGTTTTAAACTTTTTTAATGTGTTGTAAAGGTAATCCCAATTAGTACCTATAAGCAATTACCTACCTAGTACTCTAGTCCATTGATATTGAAAAATTAATATAAGAGTAAGTAAGATATAAGATTAAATATCGAACGAACTCAAAACTATATAGGTATACAATATAGTAGTTTTAATAGTAAATATACGACACGTACCTATGTGGTTCTACACCGATCTTAACTATACACAAATACACAATACTGAACAAAAAATATTACGACTAATAATGCCAAAAATTAAGTCAACAGTAAGAAGCCGTTTACGTAATTTTGTGTGTGAGTGAGGTCATTTTTGCATTTTTTTTAGTGCATTTTTGTGTATTTTTTAAGTCATAAAAATCCTAGCTCTAATCATAAAACAAAAAAAAAAAAAACAATGGAAAATGTAAACACAATTAAGAGGACGCCACACCCGCATGTGTTGTCTCCGTCTTACAAACGCGTAACATAGCAAATTACGTCCACGGAAAACAAACGAATCGGCATCAAAAAGTGGTTTTAGAGTAAAAATACCTATAATAAAACTTAAAGAGAACAATATTTCAGAGGGAACCTCATCGGGGTTTTGTATTAATCTAAATACACAGCTAGATATTGAAGGCACAAAAACTCATTTTTTTAAATAACCACAACTTTTTTAATAGTTAATATTTTTAAAAACGCCGATGAGGTTCCCTCCAAAATATTGTTCTCTTTAAGTTTTATTATAGGTATTTTTACTCTAAAACCACTTTTTGAGGCCGATTCGTTTGTTTTCCGTGGACGTAATTTGCTATGTTACGCGTTTGTAAGACGGAGACAACACATGCGGGTGTAGCGTCCTCTTAATAAAGTTTTATACTTACAACTTAGGTACGTGTGGTATGATTTTTGCTTCGTTAAATATTATTAAATTGAATATAATTTTCAGTAATCGATCGATACAGAAATGAGGATAAAACACAACCAATTGAACTAACAACAACTGTCAAAATGAAATTACGTTATCGAGTTTAGATAAAATCGGTTCGCCGAATCGGTCAGTCTGGCCCCGATAACGCGGTTTATATGTTAATTATAGAATAGTCGCGGTCGTTTGCCGATCGGCAACCGACAAAACGCATAGTGTGATCTGGTACTTTTAGTAATGACTAAATATGACGAAATATAACATTTATGTTTATGATTTTTTTTTTACAATAAAATAATTTCATGGATACAAAATTTTTTGTATAGATACTTCTCCCATATTTTTCTATGGTTAATTATAAGTCCCTTTGGAACGCGAGGCCCTTTGAGGTGCGAGGCCGTGGGCAATGGCCCACTTCGCCCACGCCTAGCGCCGCCACTGTATTATAATGTCGTATATGTCATTCTTTCCAATCGGATTCCGGTTCAAATATAATATATTTAAAATGTCTGCTCGGTTATCGCAGATACTCACAAACGGCAGGACAATAATAATAACAAAATATTTTGATAGACGATCTTTTGAAATGGGTAATAAAGAAAGAAATAAAAATTACGGTTTTTAAATTTTATTTTAGTGGCAAAGTTCGAAACGTCAACCTGGTTGGCGTAGACGGGAAGCTCAAACTCTAAGCGTGCGGGCAGGATCCTAAGACCATCTCCTAAAGTGTTCTAAAGTGGGTAAATAAAGGAAGAAATAAAAATTACTGTTTTTAAATTTTATTTTAGCGCCAAAGTTCGAAACGTCAAATGTAGGGTTGGCGCGGACGTGAAGCTCAACCTCTAAGCGTGCGGGCAGGATCCTAAGACCATCTCCTAAAGTGTTCTAAAGTGGGTAAAAAAGAAGAAATAAAAATTATGGTTTTTAAATTGTATTTTAGCGGCAAAGTTCGAAACGTCAAATGTAGGGTTGGCGCGGACGTGAAGCTCAACCTCTAAGCGTGCGGGAAGGATCCTAAGACCATCTCCTAAAGTGTTCTAAAGTGGGTAAATAAAAGAAGAAATAAAAATTATGGTTTTTAAATTGTATTTTAGCGGCAAAGTTCGAAACGTCAAATGTAGGGTTGGCGCGGACGTGAAGCTCAACCTCTGAGGGTGCGGCAGGATCCCAAGACCATACTTAAGTGTGTAAATAAAAGAAGAAATAAAAATTACGGTTTTTAAATTTTATTTTAGCGGCAAAGTTCGAAACGTCAACTGTGGGGTTGGCGCGGACGTGAAGCTCAACCTCTAAGCGTGAGGGCAGGATCCTAAGATCCTGGTACAAAGCTCGCGACCATCCTGGAGGGGTGAAAAACGGTCTGTCACACACACACAGACACACACACACATATATACTACGGTATTGATTTTACCCCTCTCTGATAATGTGCACGGAGACCCTTTTGTACGGGCGCATTATATATAGTACCAGCATTTGCAAAGGTTACATTTGCATATTATTGTACCGGCTTCAATAGATTCGTCTTACTATGTAGGTATTGTGTATACATATATGTTATATGATATTCGTTTCGGCCCAGTTTGAACCGAATGGCCGAATCGTTCGCGATTTACGTGTAATATATAATATAATGATTGCAAACGATTATTTACACATTTTTTATGTGGCACGAAATTGTCGATGTAAATTATTAGCTGACCACAACGACTACTCAATTTGTTAAGTATAATATTCCCTCACGAGAATATGCGACGTTCGCTTTTGTAACCTATAGGAGGTATACCCGTTGTGAAAACATACCGTCGATAGGAGAATTTGTTTTTTACTAAATTTAAAATTCTAAAACGTTTAATAATAATAATATATAATATTACGGCTACACGTGCAGTATGATGTCAAGCACAAATATTTTATGAAAACGTTTTTTTTTTTTTTAGTTAGTATTATTATATTATTACGTTCAATAGAACCACGCACGAATAAACTTATAAAAAATATATTATGCGTTTGAGGAGTAATTTATTTAAAACTTTGATATCCATACCTACACAAACCAAATAGCTATTATACAAACGGTGTGTTTACTCAAGTTATTTAAAGTTTTGATAAGATGAGTAAATATTTATTTGGCCGCAGATCCATTGAGGTCTTTACGGCACACTATATCTGCTGAAATGGACGACGACGAATGGCAACGAAAGATAGTTTTATTTTTATACTATTTAGTTAAAAGAAATGACTCTTAAAGCCGTTTGGTGTAAAAACGAATAGAACTAATTAATATATTGTACCCTTTCACACGATGTATTGTGATGTATTTTTTCCCGTATCATATTCCAATGAGTTCGATCTGTTTTAATTTGTTTTATTTTAATAAACAACACTGTGCAATGTCGTATCGTTGGAATTTCGCAAGCACAAAATTTCATCGAGACTGAATAAATATTAATTTAAATGTATCACTAAAATAATGCATAATATTATGTACAATAATTATTTTTGAAAAAAGGTGGGCAAGTGGGTATCGATCTGCTGTACAGTAGCTGCGGGTGTCGACTGTCGAATGGATCACTGTAATTGATGTGTCAAATTTGAATTCATTTCATACGCAAAACGATTCCGAGTGGTCTGTCAGCCTATATCAAGTACATTTCATAATATGTTTTTTGATATTGCTTTTAAAGTAACTTGCTTTTTACTGCAGCTATTATTTAGTATTAAGCACGGAAAGTTGATTACATTTTTTTACGAAAACATCTCTGCTTTCATTTTATTAATTAATATTTAATCATCAAAACAATGTATATTGCAATCATATTATATTATTGTTATTCACTTTTTAATCAACACTATACCTTACCGAAGTACAGTGTGAATAGGTTCATGGAGACGGTATAAATTATAAATAGGTAATAGCTTAAAATTAATCGTATTGTCTTGAAAATGTCATTGTGTATAGTAAAATATATACCTAAGTGATATATATTTATATAAATATATAATTTTTTTTTTTTTTATTTAATTTAAGGCTTCAAATACAAAAGTTTATTTTTAGTATATAATTGTATAAAATACAACTATAAAAGTCCCCACGAATAATGTTTTTAAATTGCAACGAAGTAACAAACATCTTTATTACTGTTCGTTTAAAAATATAATACGACCAAATTTGAACCTAAAATGTCTATAAAAAATACTGTTTATATATTTTTTGGTTACAATATTATAACTACCTGTTAGCTATGAGAATCATTGTTTTAAATGTTCAATCCTTAATTATAAAAATTGTCTGCAATTGTTCGTGTTATTGATTAGCTAGTTTTTATTGCAATTTGAACTCGTAATTATAAAAAAAATCCTGCTAAGGATATCTTTAATATTTTAAAAATAACTTAATATGCGGAACCACCTTACATCAAATTTTTCAACTTTTCGACCCAGCGACATATTTATTTTTATCCAGATTTATGGAAATAAAACATCGAAAATTTCTCATGCCTATAAATAGCTCAAAAGGGAGTCAAAATATTTTAAAACCTCTTTCTCGTATGGACAATTTTCTACGTTCATTTTTCATCCATTTACCTATTACAAAAAACAAAATAGGTTTTGCCCCCCCCCCCCCGCTGAATCAATACATTGATCGCTCGACTAGGAATCTAAAACGAAATGTTGTTTTTACGCGTATGCCGCGGTATAAAGATAATAATATTATTATCTATACTAGAGTAGGGTAGATACGTTTTTTCGCCGCCGGTGAAAGGAATAAAAACGACCAATAATCGATTCGCTCCGACGGTCATAACTTATGAATATTTATGACTCGTAACTGCAATATATATTATGGGCACCCACTACATAGATATACCGACCTTTTCTCTCTGTATAATTGTACACCGGCAGTAGCGGGTGAGCATAAGTTGCCGCCGCAGCTTAACTATTTAGCGGAGCACCGTATCAAACGAGATAATCCTCAAAATGTAACTATATAGGTTAGATTAGGTTAGGTAGGTTAGGTACTCGTGCGAAAAATGTTCGCCTTTTACACCGTTCGTCAATACAATATTATTGATATTATGACATGTTATCGTAGTCGACCACGCAGCAACAGACCTGATTTTCACGACCAACCACAGGCACACGACGATCACGAACATCGTCAACAGGAACGCGGCCCATACTTCCGGACTCCAAGTCTCCAAGTACGACAGCGAAGTGGCCCTGTTGACGGTATACTTTGCGTAGAGTTCGTACCTGTAAGCAGACGTTAAAGCAATAATGGCGTATTAGTTGTGTATTAAGGGGCCTCGCAATGGCATTGATTTGAGGAGAATCATTTAGGCAATTTCTAATCTCGTAAACCCGAGATCTATGGGTTAGTCGTAAATGATTATTAGTGTGTGTGGCGTCCATGTGGGTCAATTGTAGAGGTGCGGACATGTCCATCTAAATATTGTGATCGTGAAAAAATGCTTATTTTTACTTAAACATACGGTTCTAATTCCAACAGTACGTCTCAACGATTACCCCCGATTTTCATTCTGACAAAATATTCTTATTTTCCACAACATGTACGAGGGACCGATCGAGGCACATTTTTAAAATCGTATTTAGTTAATCAAATATTTAAATTGGAAATTCTGTATTTTTTTTTATTTTTTACAATTTTTATTGCAATTTAAATTACAAAAATTAAAAAAATGTGGCTCGATCGTTCTTTTGTATATATTACGGACAATCAGAATATCTTTTCAGAATGAAAATCGTGATAATTGTCGACACGTATCGTTGGAATTAGAAACAGTAGTTTTTGATAAAAAATAGACTTGGTAGTGAGGCCCCTTAAGAGGACGTCTCACCGGAAAGGGGTTGTCTCCGTCTTACACACATACGACATACCAAATGTTCGTTGGCTAGTTTCAATAGGAAATTGTCAGTTTTTATATTAGAGTGAATTGACCTATTACCAAACTTTTAGGTAACAACATTATCTGTGTTCTGTCGTTGGTTTTTTACGATATTTTAATTTTTAAGTGAGTTATGAACATTTTAGAATATGAATACTTTACATACCCATAACTCACTTAAACATTAAAATATCGTAAAAAACCAACGAGAGAACACAGATAATGTTGTTACCTAAAAATTTGATAATAGGTTGATTCACTCTAATATCAAAACTGACAATATCCTATTGAAACTAGCAAACGAAAATTTGCTATGTCGTACGTGTGTAAGACGGAGACAACACATCCGGGTGAGACGTCCTCTTAAGTGCATCACTCCGTGTGAAATCTGCACACGCGAAGACTATACGGTCTGCCGTGGGTACCATAATAGTGTTGTTGTAATATTAAGTTATGATTCTCAACAATATGTATAGGTATACGACATGCAGCAGTGTCGGATTAAATAATGGAGGGACCTTATAGTTGGTTAAAATGTTGAGGCCCCTTAGAAAATTACTATAGGCACTTACTTCCTACTTGATAATTAAAATTTAGCAGTTTTAATAATATATATAACCAACTGATTTTAACGAATAAAACAGTGTTTAGTATGTTATTCCACTAAAATTCTTATTGGTTTCCATAAAAAATGAATTTATTTTTTCTACTGATTAAAAAAATGATTCTTAAAAACTTTAAAAAAGAAATTGATTTAAAGTGAAAACTAAATTGTAATTCTTAGTTCAAGACAATTTGAACTTAAAATATTTACAGGGGTCGATGAAAGATCGTAACGCACGACGACAATGTTCGTCGGCACTATAGATAAATGATAATCTACAGACTACAATAAATATTATCAAGTATTTTAATCCGACAAAATGTACATATTATACAGTATGATTTTCATATTAACTTTTTTTGAAATGAATAATTTAAAAAAAAAAACAATTTTAAATGGTTATCTGTTTTTACTTTGGGGGGCCCTTCGAGGTGGGTGTCTAGTGTCTACTTCGCCTAATGGTAATCCGGCACTGGCGACATTTAATATCGTAAGTGGATTTCTCAAAGTTAACCTGACCTTGCCATATTCCTATAACATTACAGTCAAAATCAGATTGTGCTTTTAAATTTTCAATATTGCTGAAATCTTGAAATTTTGTAATATTCACATATTATATTATTTTGTCTACATAATACGCAAGTGACGTGATCAATGATCATAATATTATGTATTAACGGTACAAAAATAGTGACCATTATTTATAATGGTATGATAATAATCAGGGCTAGGAAATCCTATTTATGTGCAACAGCATGTTTTTTTTGCGACTTCTGATTAGTGATTTTGTCAGCAATGTCCACGAATCACCTCATGATGAAATAAATGGTGGTATTTTTATTTTGCATGTTTTGGATGAAACGCATATCATTGCATATATTGATTAAAATTAACATTATTGCATATTTCGATTATAAGAATGCGAAAAATGCATGTTTTATACTATATTTCATAAAACTTGATTTTCTATTGTCAAACATAAATTTTATTTTTATAAATACAATCCTATGGTACAATAGGTATGCAATAAAAGATTGAATAGTTTGACATTCATTTTCGAAAATTTAAAAAAAATATGTGGTCGTAACTCGTAGCATGTAGCACACGTAGGTAGTGAATGTGAATTATAAATTATTACTTTTCTTTTTTCTCAATTATATTATATTAAGACAAATAGCCAATCACTGATGCGTATTTCGACAAATGACTATTTTTTTTATAACTACATTTTTGTGTTTATCTTATAAAAATTTAAATGCATATTTTACCATTTTTTATTGCACACAAATCCTAGCACTGATAATAATATTATGCGTACAAAATACAAAACATTCCCAATAACGTAACCATCAAGGTGTGGTGTGGTACTGGTACACAATAATATGATACAATAATAATTATATTAAACCATTGCTAAGTTTTTATGCGATTTCCGCCGATTTTTATCACATTTATTGACTTGTGAGTTGCATAACGCACACCGACGTGATTGGTGTGTACTGTGTATGAGAGACTCGCTCACTTTTGAAAGGCGTTCGTAATATTGTACATTATGATATTATGGTTTCGAGATTTTACTTTAGACGGTATTTCTATAAAATATTTAATTCGTATTGCCTATATACTTATAGGAGTTATCTATAAGGTACTATGTGGGTAAAGCGTTGAAAATATGCACTTGCGCAGAAGAAACGAACGTTAATAGAAATATCGAATAATAATCTATAATATTATCTATTGTAATAATTTATGATATATTGTGCCTATTATATGAAATTATTGTGTTACGATGGCGATGTGTAGAACGTCGCGGAAATCGTGCGAGTGCTTGTACAAATCAAAATATGTTTTCCTATGAGAAAAGTCATCGCGATTTATATCAGTTTTTGAATTGACGACCTCTCGCGTTGCACTCGAGCAGCAAAGAAAATAATTAGGTACCTACTTACGAGACTGTTGATGGGGCTGCATACGAGTTGATTCCCTATTGTTGTATATTAATTATATCAATAGATTGCACGAGTAAAGAGTTTAGCTTTTAGCTTTCGTTCTAAGCTCAACAGTTGTTTCTATAGTGGGCACCCAAATATTTTTGTATTTATAAATGAGCTGTTTGAAGTACAATCGGAAACGTATATTAAATGCAGGAGTATAATGGAACTAAGAAATCTGAAAAAACAACAAGAAAAACAAATTTTTTTAAGAGAAGAGATGTCATGGTATACTGGTTATCTCATTACCAGATACCAATTTATGAAAATAATGTGTTACACATTTTTACCAAATTATTAAATTTTTTTTATATTTTTTTACCTAGTTACTATACAAATGTTTTTAATAACTATTTTTTACCTAATTACTACCAAATGTTTTTAATAATAATAAATATAATATAATTCAATAAATACCTAGGTAATTAATAAATACAAATTGAATGATTTTCAAAATATGAAAAAACTAAAAAAAACAACATTTTTGAGAAACTTGTCAGCCAACCTCCTCGTGGTGTTTCTTGGGTTATGCTAATAGGCTGAATATTTTACAAAATATTGAATAAAATATATAATTACCTGGGAATCAACTCGTACGTACGCTCTTAATGACCCGGGAATCAACTAATACGTCATGAGAAAGGTCTCGGGAATCAACTCACCTATTGCGGTTGATGGGTACCAGCCACCAGGCGAGGAGGCCCCCCGCTCCTTTGGATAATAATTTGTATAGCATTTCATCGGATTTATTTGCATTTTATACTGCAGCAGCCTTTTAGGTTGATAAGGAGGACTTGCCCCCCCCCCCCAAGAAAAATTTCCTCGGGCGTCCTTGCCACCGCAGGCACGCGACACACAGAATACCTACGCTTATAGGCCGTGCACGGCGTTTACAGTGACTTACCACGTTTTAAAAATCGGAATCGAGAAGTCGAAATCTTGTACGTCGGTAGTGGTGACCACGATCGGCACCAAGAGGATGTCACCGGTGTTTTCTTTCAACATCGATTTGCCAGCAGTGAAGTCTCCGCGCACGTAATTGCTCCTGCTCGGAAACAGACATAAAAATACAATAAGTTATTACTTCTTTATTAGATCATTAATGGATACATTTTTTAACTCGGTTTTTCGAATTAAAATATAATTTTTGCAAATATGAATTTTTAGTGCGTCATATATGCATGTTTTTGAACTTTTAAAAGCATATTCGAAAGCTTATTTTGCCAGTTTTTAGTGTACAAGTGCATACTCGTTTAGGCATTTTTCAGGGCACCAACTCACGAACCCTGGACTTAATCATATGTTAGTATATAGGTATATATGTATGACATTATACTATTATATTACACGCCAGCGTCATATTATTTGAGGGGGGGGAAATGAGTAGACCGTCTGCAGGGGAGGCACTCGCCCCTGAGAGTCGAGCCAGGTTTTGCAGTTATTATTATTGAATACAATACATTTTTAATAGGAAAATCGGTTTTATAATTATATACAAGTCGAAAATGGATATCACAGTAGAAAAATATTCAAAAAGTTGATAGGGAGCTTTCCGTGTTGTAATAAAAAATTTAACCACCCCCACCTGTCACCACCCTCACATCGGGTACGCCCTACGCGTTATTAATACAAACACTCGAAGTATGCACGAACAAGTCCTCAAATCGCGTACTTGTACAACACACGTACAACACGACATTACAATATATGCTAATATATTATATACGACACATTATATTAATATATCGTAATTTAAACGTCTCTTTGCGTTCTCAACTCTATTTAAAAAAAAAAAAAAAATTTATCGACCGTTTTGCGATTCATATTACAACATAGGTGTTCGTATTAAATTATATATTATTCGTATCGGTGATATTATATTATTATACTGCTGTTTTTGTTCACATATTTACTCTCACGGCGCCAATATAATAGTATATTATTATATACTTACACCTATACTGGCGAACATTGTAATATTCGCATTAATTACGCGGCTGTACACGAACCAGTTGTCAAAACAATAATAATAATAATAATGTCATCATCTCGCGGTCGTATGACGAACGGAGACGAACAGCGCTGTGCACACACACACACACACACACACACACACACACACACAATATTAGGTGTAGTACGCCTGTCGTCATTTGCTTGACATCGATTTATCGGTCTCGAAGAATAGTGGAAGAGAGGGGGGGAGGGGGTTAAAAAATGGTAAACACCTCGTTTCACAATTTAAAATTCGCAAACACACGCGTGTATAATTGCCCGACGTGTACGCGCGGGGAGAGGAGCTATATGCCTTCTCGATATATATATATATACAAGTATGTAGCTATATATATGATGTGTGCGTATATAATTAACACGTTTATGTATAAATATAATAATATAAGCCGGGTATACAATACAATAGCGCCGTTCTGGCGTTTTTTTTTGTTTCGGGTTTTACATATTTTTCAATGACACGTTTATTGTCGTGTCGTACGCGTCGAACAACGGCCGTGTGAGCACTGCAGGCGCCAAATATAAATTTCCAATTAACCGCCGTTGTTCCGCGCCGCCGACGGAGAAGCGCATCCGCCGCCCCGCGTGTCGCAGCCGACGGTGTTATTTTACCTCGGCTATTCCGTTCCGCGAGAGCGCCGCGCGACCGTCCGTCGTCGTCGTCGTAACAACACACAGCCACCGGTTGATCGGAAATCGCCAGCGACGCCGCCGCCAACATGGCCGGACATTGGATTTTCGTCCTCTTGTGCCTGTCGTTTGTCGGACAACTAGTGCTCGGCGTAAGTACACACACCTGCGACCGTCATGCCTGCAGTGGTCGACTTGGCAAAATTATCGAGTAGGGGGACTCTGTTGACTTTTGAAAAAAGGGTTCCCCCCCCCATCACTTGTTAAACGTTAACGAGCCCCCACACCCCCTATAGCCCATCTCTAAATCGTATAAAAAATATTTACGAAAGATCAACTTAAATTACTGTAAATATTATATCGTACATTTTTCTTATGACTTATAAAATATAATAAATATAGGTATGATGTATCATATTATTGACAACAAATATTAGTGAATGATAACGTTAAACAATGTTATGAACCATGATTAAAGATAGTTAATTAAATAATAATAATAATAACAATACATATTATATTAATAATTATTAAATCTGTGGTAAGAAAAATTATGATTTGATAAAAATGCAGAATGATGAAAAAATAAAAGTAGGGATACGCTAAAATTTCTGAAAAATCAATTGGGGTACAACGTCCCCCTGCGCCCCCCCCCAAGTCGAGCACTGCTGTTATGTAATATTATGTTACGCAGTTCATTATATTACTAGTGCAGTTCACTCTACATTATTATATTGTGCCTATAGGTACTTTATAATTTACACAAGCACAATAAACTTCAATCAATAATAACCTAATAATACAGTGTCCGGATTAGATAAGATTTTTTTTATCTAGACAAAAAAAAAGATAATAGATAAAAAGACGAAATTATCTAGATGGATATAAAAGATAACTTAACTGATATTTATCTAGATAAAGATAAATACTTTTTTATCTAGATAAAAAGAAAGATTCAATTATTTTTTAAATGGTTTTAAATTTCGGTATATTTTAGTTGGGGGGCCCTAGGAATAAATAATAATTACATTATTTATAAACCATAAACTTTGTTTGAGAATCTGTATAAATGTTAAAAAATGTTGTACAATTTCGCGATTTTTATCAATAAAAAATGTATCTAGACGAATTTATTTAGATTAGTAAAAAAAAACATCTAAGATGAACGTTTAGATACCTTGTAACTGTTTATCTAGATAAGATAAAAGACGAACAAATAATTATCTAGACAAGTCCGAACACTATTATAATACCTATAATATACGAGGGCGATTCGCGAGGCAAGCTCATAGAACTGATCGTATCCCAATCTGTTGTGCACTTATTGAAATAAGGTTTTAGGCACCTGTTGCAGCTGTCTAATATTTTTAATTTTAAATATCTTATAGTTGTACGATTAAGCTTTTGTAGTAGCCAGTAGGTACCTACATACAAAATATAATGTATACGTCTTATACTCAGTGGCGTAACTGGGTAAAAATTTAGGGGGAGGGCAAAATAATTGATTCACCAAAGTCGAAACCATAACCTAATAAATTGTTTCTGTTTACATAAGTCTTAAAACACATTTTATGGCTTTGAACAAATTGTAGTCATAGATAGGTATTAGCCCGATCAGGTAGCCATAATATTGTTAAATAATATTTAGTACGAGATAATTCATTAAAAAAAGTGCTATAAACCTATAAGTTTTAAAAAAATAATGTGACGATAACCAGTAACCACAGTATCCTAATCATAATAAATTCATGAAATAATAATATTGGGTTATTTTGTTACCCAGACAATGCGATAACGCAAACGTTGACTGCAATACGTCAAATATTATTCAACAGGACTTTCATGAGCAACGTGAAAATGTTAAATATGTGTACCTTCTTTACAGGTATTATCGATAATTTAACAAAAAAAAAATATCTTTATCTTAGAAAATATGTACCTATGCTATAGGACGAGTTGCGCCTAAAACAAAATTCGTATTTTAGGGTCAGTTAACCAATTGCGCTTCGTATTTTTACAGTCGATTTACCAATTTCGAATTTGTGTATAGGTTACCTTTTAATTTATTTTAGGCTTTATTAATATAACTAAAACAATACTTAAAACAATTAATACAATATTATAAAAACAATTTTAAAATTGTAATCAATATAATATTGATCAATTGACTACTGTGTGACTGCAGGTTAAATATATTTTGTTTTTGAAAAATAATTGAACTGCTGCCAATATTCTGTAATAATATAGATGGAACATTTATGAAACGTCATTATTGTTTATTTCATCATAGCGAGGCCCCCTAAAGAACTAAAATATGAATTTGAGTGATAGACGAAAACAAGTTTTCACTATCGTTACCTACCTATTAATCGGCCGAATTGCAAACATTATTATATTATGAACGGAATAACACAATGATGATAACAATCAACAGATACTTTTATATGACCATTAGGTATTGACAATATTGTTATTTATTTATAATTCACCCTATAATATTATGGCCCGTAGATATATCTACTAAAAGTTACAGTCAAATAGTGTATAGGTACATTGTTAGATGTTAAGTAGTAGCTTGAAGTTTGAACTTTAAGTATAGTTCGACTTTATAATATTGACCGTTTTCAGCAATTGTTATATCAACCCTGAAAATTACTTAGTGCAATTGCTGGTCTATATCGACCCAGAAAATGACCTAGCGCAATTGGTCTATTGACCATAAAATATAGTAAAATGTTTAGAGAGCAATATTAGTAATCTATCATGTTAAATACTTAAATGTAAGTATTGCATTATTTTTTTATTTATTTTATAAGATTTTAAGATTTCTACTGATAAAATCGATGGGAGGGGGAATGGTGCCTTAACTCCCCTCGCGACCCTATACAATTACGTCACTGCCTATACCTTCTAAAAGGGATAAAGTAGAATAAAACAGAACCAAAAACTATACATGTACTCAAGCCTAATTTCGATGTCGTTAAGTAGATAGGAGGTGTACTTACCTACATCATAATTTTCAGAAAAATCATATTTTGTTTGACCATTTAATGGGAGCTTCTTCTTTGAATAAAAAAAATTGTGCACAGTAGGTACTACCAGTGGCATAGCCAGAATTATGAAATGGGGGGTGTTTAAGTATAGATTAAAACCAAGTTTTTACAGTTTCATAAAACATAATAGGTACAATTTTTGTAATAAAAAACTAAAAAATAAGTAGGTATATAAAAATGATAAAAATAATTTAAACACGGGTATACAAATTTTAATATAGGTAGGTAAATATATCTTGATTACTATGATGGACGGAGGACACAGCTATTGTATGTTTTGGACATTTTTAAACTACCATTGTGAAATGAAACTTGATTTTTAAAAATAATGGCATAAAATACTAGGTTAATAAATAAGTAATAACGAGTAACGTGATATGTGAACCCCGTGATAGACGAACACGTATCTACTGATTTCCATTTCTTCGTACAATCTAGAATGTAGATGTCAATTATAGTTTTAACACAGTCTTGTCACAAAGAGACTTATAAAATCTTACGTACCATATGCGAAAATAGGGCAAACCGTAGCCAAGCTTCACCAACAACTTTAACAGCCATCCCAAATATTTACAAAAATTTTTTAAGCTTATTCAATTTTATAATAGTATGATTTTAGGCTTCGGCCACCCCAAATCTCAAAATTAGCTCTTATTGTTCCTAGCCAAACATAATATTTTTAAAGATATTTTTCAATGTTATACAAATATGATTTTTCCGGACAATTGTATGTAAGTACCTACATTTTAGTTAAAAAAATTCAATATATGCACAAATATACGAAAAATCGCTCAAATGTACACTTTTCCTACAATATGCAAAAATATGCAAATTCAAACATCGTTTGTTAAGACAAAAAAATTTCATAAGACAAATTTATAACTTATCTAAAAAAACCTACTACCACTACAATAAAACATGCAAGGAGTCCTGAACCCTATAAACAATATATTTATTAGGGGGGGAAATGTCAATGGGGGGTGTTTAAACACCCAACCCCCCCCTGGCTACGCCACTGGATACTACAGTGTAGGTACTCTTTAAATGCTGTTACTCCTTTAAAATTTAAAAACACGGTTTTTAGACATAGGTAGCCGCATAGGTATATTACACAGAAATGCTCGATAAAAGAATAAAATGAGAGTGAAATGTTTTAAAAACATTTGTTTTCTCCGTCTTACAAGTGCGTAACATAGCAAATTCTATGCTCAGCAAAACACGTTTATCTCCCGTTAATTTAAAAATTAGAGTGAATTGACCTCTTATAAAATTCAAAGGTAAGATTATTATCTAGACAATGCTTTTTATTATATTTTAATTTTAAATCCTAGTTATGAGTATTTTAAGACGTACAAACAGTTAACAATTTTAAAATACACATAACTCGCTTTAAAATTAAATTATAATATAAAGCCTACGTCGTTGTCTAGATAATAATCTTACCTTAAAACTGTATAAGAGGTCGGTTCGCTCTAATTTTTAGACTAACGGGAGACAAACGTGTTTTGCTGAGCGTAAAATTTGCTACGTTACGCACTTGCAAGGCGGATACAACAATTTTTACTGTAATCTTCCCATAACGAACTACCCTTTTAACGCAATAAAATTACACATCACCCATGTGTACAGTAATTCGGCAGTATGCTGTTTTCCTTTAATTGTTTATGTTCTAATTTAGAGTTTGTTTCCACCAATCCCTCCGAACGTTCAAACTCCATCGCAACCAGACGCCGTGCCTCCACCACAAGAAGTAAGGAACGTGTATTTTTAACTGTCTTATAGCAGTATTTCTTATGTACATTTTAAAGTTTAATGTACATAGTCTAGTATTAATCATAAATTGAGTATGATTTAAGGTCAATTGGCCATTAAACAATTTAGCCGCACCTGATGTGACCGTCGTCGGAGAAGCAGCCACGCTCAATACCAGAAGTCTCCCCATGGAAAAAACCAGAGACAAGCCATTGGAAACCAGTCAAAAAGCCGAAGAAATATTACCAAAAGTCATCGTTATTGGCACTGAACAAAAAGCAGTCGGTGAAATTGTAACCAGAAATAATGCAGAAATGGAAACTAAAAACTTTTCTTCGACCAACAATGGATAACACTACACCGTTAATCACATTAAACATAATGTACAATTTTTCAATTTTTCAAATTATAAAATATATCAATTATCACCTAAAAATCAAAATTGGAGAATGAAAATATATATTAAATTACCTGATATCCAAACGTTTTTCAATGATTTTCCAAATTTCACCTACATATCCTGAGATATCATTTATGTTACCGTCATCCGTCAGTAACAGCAAATAAGGTGGCATCTACACGTCAAACATATCATAAATTAAGAAAATATAAGACATTTTCTAAAGTTTGAAAATTCATAATTTAATAAACCATTTAAAAATTTGTTGAATACAATTTTGCGCTGCTAATAAGTTGGTATTTGAATACAGATTTAACTAAAGACTAAAAAACTATTTAATCTGTATCTAAATAATTAAACATTTACTTACATGATCAACTATTACATTGAGCGTCTTAGACATTTTAAAAAACTATACTGGAATAGTGGAATACGTAATGGTTACACGACTGTACATAATATTAAAGTAAAACTAAAAAGCTCAATATAAACATTTCAATAATAGAGATAGGTCAGTTTGATAATATTATTCAGTACTTCCATTGTTAAATTGAATTCTTTTTTGAGGTATTCACAATAGTGTAACAAGGTCATGGTAACAAAAATAAACAGATAATAAGGTTAAGTTTACCCATATGGGCTATATATTTTTAAACTATAAAGAGAATTAGCTCAATATAAAAGTCTAAAAATTCTATAGTATTTACACGTACAAGTTAGAAAAATACATAGCAGTAAAATGTATAAAATACAAAGTACATAGTTAGAGAACAACAGCGAAAACATAATATATAAAATAAAATACACTATAATACAGTTTATAATAATGTGATTTCTTGGTTTTTCTTTTATAATGTACATAAGAAAGCTAACAGGCCTTGGATATCTTGGGTCTGATCGTACAATTTTGCTGCCTTCATAACTGTCGGGCTGTGTGGGTTAATGTCAATAACTGTGCATTAAAACATAAATAAAAATAAGTAGGTAAATTAAACAAATATACAAAAATTAACAGAATTAAATCTAATAGTAATTATATTATATTGTGTACCTATGTAGTGGTTAAAAATGATATAACTCATACGTGACATAAATAAATAGGATATACCTAGGTAAACATAATTTTTTTGAACCAAGTTTTAATTACTATAATAAAATGTATCAATGTTTGGTTATAGGGGCTTGCTACGATAATGAAAACAATATCAAAAATGTATCTCAATTATTAATAGTTCAGATTAATTTGATTTAGTGTATGGTCTAACTCAAATTTACTAGTTGTTCATATCACGTTCATTACATTAGTTACATCAATTTTTTTTTTTTTGAAAAGCATTTGAGGATTTTATCATTAGCATTTTAAAATATGAAAATATGTACAGTAAAATTTAACCAAGTTAAACAGTATAATGTTATATACAAATAAATAAAAAAAAAAATGTAACCTACTGATGTTACAAATAATTATACTAATTTCCCTAATGACAACAGACATTATAATCACTATTTAGTTACTATTTAAAAATTGTAGTACCTAAAGTACGTTTTTTGTAGAGTTAAATTTAAATTTTAGTTATATTTTATTTATTTAAATACAAAATTATAAGAAAGGAATGTGCATACAATTATATTATTGAGGGCACGGAGTGGCCGACCCGAGTTCGATTCCTTGGCCACGGGCGGCATTTTTCTTCGGACAAGTCACGGTGTCCAGAGAACAAGTGCCGCCATCCCCCACCCGTGCATGGCAGATACCGACGGGTGCCCAAACAAAAATGCTGCCAAACACAACACACACGTGTAAAAACACTAACATTACAAACCCTACTACCTACAATCATAAAACCCCACAATCAGCTAATGGCCATAGTTGCCGGGCTTTAAAAATCAATAAAAAATAATAAAAAATAATATTATTGTATTATAATCTTGGTAGATGTCCTAAATTATACTGAAACAATCTTTTATTTATGTATTATGTGTACATATAATAAGATTTCATCAATACAATTTTCATCACAAAATACCAAATAAGATAAAATAACAGTAGACACACAAAACTTACGATGGAAATTGTTTTCATTTTCCGCATAAAATGTGACTTTGTAATCTGAATGATTTTTAACGTTTTTCATGGTAATTTCGATTAAAGTATTTGTATCATTAGTTTTAATATTCATATTCAACTGTAAAAATCGCTCATACATGTTTACTCCAGCTTTGAATGAATTTATTTCTCGCTTAAGTTTTTTTAAGCTTGTTTTTTTTTCTAAAAATAAATAAATAATAACGTTTATTATAAATATAACGAAAAAACCAAAACATTTTCCCTCACATGAACACATTGAGAGTGGCTCATCATCAAGAATAAACAAAAATAAAATGTACAATGTATCTAGTGTATAAGCAATACACGTCAGGTTACCTTTATACACTTGGGTGAGTTGCTCTTTGGTCTTATTTATCACATCATTCAACTCAATTTCTGTAGCTCCCAAACTATGACATTCATTATTAATAGACTCCAAGCGATCGTTTTCTGTTTGCAATATCTGTTGTTCACATTTGACTTTGTCGGAAATGTGTTGAAGCGTATCACGGCTCTTGCTAATTTTGTTATTTACATCTGAGAGATTTTCTAAAAATAAGCAGTACATAACATTCATAAACTATAAGCCATTTGGGGTTATAAAATACGTACTTAATGTCTTGCTATATTCCTCTATGTCCTGTGTGTATACTTTCAGTATATTTTCATCGGTTCGTTTTATTTCATCGACGAAGCTCTCCTTTGCATGTTGGTAGGCTAATTCATAGTCGGTGATTATGTTATCAATATCAACATTAAAATATTTAGTCATAGTGGAAACTGAAAATAAAAATCAATCAATAGGTAAAAAGTTACTTTTTTATAAAGTCAAACATAATAATTGTTCTTCTGCATTATAGTTTAGGTTCAGTTAAAAGTTATTAATAATTATTTTAGAAAGAAAAACATAATTTGTTAAATCATATTCAGTCAAAATAATATGACATTTTAAATTGTATGGTAATGTAAAGTTTGAAAAGGTAGTTAATGTGGTGTAGTAAGCGAGTTGCTATAGAAGTGTAGTTGTCTGATGGATTGTACGATGATGTTTATTGTTGTCAAATGAATGACAATATATCACTCCGGTGGACATAACGCAATAGTCGTTGTACATACCATTGTAATATTGTATTATTATAAATGTTTACGAAACTCTTTTCGGAAACCACAACCAATAAATTCACAAAAAACATTACAGATTTTACAAAACTCACAAAATATTAATATGCTGATGTCGGGAAAGCCACGGACTCTGGTGAAAATACAATAATCGATGGTTCGTCAGATGACCAGATGTGATGATGGGTGGAAAATACAACTCGGCGGCCGACCGCTGTAGTTGTAATCGATGGCTAATTATTACCGTTGACCATAGAATTATAAGAAAACAAAGTAATACGGTAAGTTCAAAGTCGACTCACTTGACTCGAGTTTTCTTTGTTTATCTACGCTTATCACTGGTCGTCGTTGACAAGAGCAACGATAACGGTCGTTTGAATGTTTGAAACGATTACACCGACCACGCGCATGCGCGAAGATTCCGCGGAACTACGTCGCACTACGCCATCTACGTTTTCCCATCGGGTTTCGCGTTTGTTTTTCGTAACTACACTCTAGTCCCCTAGATTCCGTTTATAATATTAATATGGATTATAATATTATTATTTTTTCAATATTTTACGACAATACTAAATTACTATAGTACTATAACTACCTACCATAAAAGCTAACAACGTAAGGTTAGTAAGTTTTGCGTTAATTTGTTATGTTACACGTAGGCCAGAAAAAGAAAAAAATGCACTATCCTCTTAAGCCCGGTTCACACGATCAAATAATTTGTCAAATATTTGATGTATGTCAAATATTTGACAAATTATTTGATGTATGTCAAATATTTGACAAATTATTTGATCGTGTGAACGGGGCTTTAATAACAACAGGAAATATTATCGTAATAATTAGTTAATATTATATAATATACTTACAATTTGTTTTACCTACCTACCGTATTACTAATAGAAAAATAAATTGCTAATAACAATATAATTAATATATTCACTATTACTATTGATGTTATAACTAATACATGAAAATATGAAGTAGGCATTGGAACAAATGCAGTTTAGTTTCTGAGCGACTTTTGTGAATCTTTTTTTTCAAAAGGTTCGGTATTATAGGGATGAATGGTTCAAGTACTCATATTTCTCCACTAGAGTTTAAATATTGGTCTGTTGAATAATATATTATAATACTAAGTCTCTCATAATATGCTTTGCTATATATTTATATTTTATATTTTATTTAATTTAATTTTATATTCTATAATCAATATGATATTTGTATTATTTAATGTTATCTCTCTACTCTCACTCTCAATTTTTCTATTGTTAAAAATATTTATTTATCTGTATTATTCATTATTTTTTTTTTCTCCTAAATTATTTTGTTCATGTTTCCATTATTGTCCTACTCACTTAATAGTTAATAGAAAGTGTTTAGTTTTTAATTAATAATTATTACTCTCTATCTCTAACACAAGCTTAAAGCTTAAAAGAGATGGATAATCATGAAATCTAACTCAATGTTTTTTGTATCCTATGTAATTTTTGATGGTTTTTTGAATAAAAAAAAAAAAAAACATCCACCTTAATAACCATGATTTTAAATTTAACATGTCTATTTACCATAGAAAAAAATTAGTAGGTAAGGTGTAATGTCGCTTTACTAAATTTTTGTTTCGATTGGTACAATATTCAATTTAATGAGGTGTCTTTTTATTAGGGTTCCGTACTGTAAAACGGGACCCTATTACTAAGGTTCCGCTGTCCGTCCGTCTGTCATCAGGCTTAATCTCATGAACCATGACAGTTAGAAAGTTGAAATTTTCACAGAAATTTGTATTTCTGTTGCCGCTATAACAAAAAATACTAAAAATCCTAGAATAGTAGTATAATATTATGTATAAGCTGTGTTGCTAATATGTTTATAGATGATGGTACGGAACCCTTCGTGCACGAGTCTGACTCGCACTTGGCCGGTTTTATTTTTGTCCATTGGTATGTTGTCAATAGGGATAATGGTAATTTTATTTTATTATAACCATGCTCATGAACTCTACTTTCTTTTGTTGGTCTTCCTGCTGTCTGTAAAATTATCTCTATTGACAACATACCAATGAACAAATTTGTTGTACCTACCAATAAACAACAGGTTTTTTAATGTGTAATTTCGTCCAAATTTGAACTTAAAATAACTATAAAAATAAACTGTGCTCCTGTATTTTTTTAGATTTTTTGGTAACAGACTCAACTATGTACTTACGTGGAATCTTGTTTTAAATTTTCAATCCTTAGATATAAAATTTGAACATTTTATAAATTTTTAACTACAAAATAATTATTCAATTTTAAATTTGATACATTTTGTCAAAATTCCATCTTTAAATGCTTATAAAAAAAAATTGTGCCTATGTATTTTTAATATTTTTCAACTGAAATTGTAACAATATACCTATCAGGAGTCTTGAATTCAATTTTTACACTTTTTGGCCCAACAGATAAAACTTGATTGATATTTATAGAAAAAAAAACTAAAAAAATTGGAAACTGAAAATATCCGTAAACAGCTCAAAAAGAGTCAAAACATTTTCAAAATAGTATGGTGTGAAATGCTAATATAAACATTCAGTGAAATTTTCATGTATCTACAATTATTCGTTTTTGAATTACAACAAAATAAAAAAATCGCTACATTGAGAAATCGAGTGAATATCCAATGTTGTAAAAAATTGAATTTCAAACGATCATAAAAATTTAAAAAGACATTTTTTTTTTTTTTTTGATAAAGGTAGATAATCTGTAAAATAAATACATTCAACGCTCTGAATCTAAAACTAAAAAGGTGGGTAAGTGGATGTCGCTCTGCTGTACTGTAGGTTACAAGTGGGTCACTGTATAATGGATGGTATTAAATTTGAATTCAATGATACAATATCATTGTATAAGAAAAACGATTCTGAGCGAAGACGGTATGTCAGTCTAGGTTTAAGACAAATTATATACATATCTATGGTATTAAAAAAAAAATTGACCTATAATAAATTCCAAATTAATCATATCACATTATCACAATATCCATTAGGTACTTATAACACGTTATACATCAACATCAATAACAAATCCTGATACTATCATTGATATATAATAGTAAACTTTAGAAGTTTCAAGTAGGTACCCATGAATAATATTATATAATCACAACAAAATAACTAGGTTTTTTAATGTGTAATTTCGTCCAAATTTGAACATAAAATGACTATAAAAATAAACTGTGATTGTATATTTTTTAGATTTTTTGGTAAAAGAATTAACTACTTACGTAGAATCTTGTTTTAAATTTTCAATAATTAGCTATAAAAACTGATTATTTTATAATTTATTAATTACGATGATTAATAATTTTCGAGATTTTGAAAAATTCTGTTAAAATTCGATGTTTGAAAATGCTTATAAAAAAAAACTGTGCCTATGTATTTTTAATATTTTTCAACTGATATTGTAACAATATATCAGGAGCCTTGTATTAAATTTTTACACTTTTTGGCCCAACAGGTAAAACTTTATTGATATTCATAGAAAAAAAAACTAAAAAAATTTAAAAATGAAAATATCCATAAACAGCTCAAAAAGAGTCAAAATATTTTCAAAATTGTATGGTGTATAGGAAATGCTTATACAAACATTCAGTGAAATTTTCATGTATCTATAGTTATTCGTTTATGAATAACAATAAAATAAGGAAATCGCTACATGAGAAATCGAGTGAACATCCAATGTTGTGAAAATTTGAATTTCAAACGCTCATAAAAATTTAATTTGACTGTCCGGTAGAGATTTTTTTATTGATAAAGGTATACAAACTTATGAGTAATCTTGTATTACATTTTAAAATCTTAGATTTAAAAAGAAAAATTTTTACGAATACTTAACTCAAAATAATTTGCTAATTTTCGTTATTTGTCAATTTTTGAACTTTAAATGCTTACAAAAAAAAACTGTGACTAACGATTTTTAATATTTTTCATCTGCCTTTGAAACAATATAGTAGGAACCTTGTATTAAATTTTCAAGTATTTCTACTCAACAAACAAAGTTTTATTGATATTTTTAGAAAAAAAACTAAAAAAAAATGGAAAATGAAAATGTCCCTAAACAGTTCATAATAAATCAAAATGTTTTGAAAATGTTATCGTGTATAGAAAAGGCAAATATAAACAACCAGTCAAAATTTCATGTTCCTACAGTCATTTGTTTTAAAGTTACACCAAAAACCAAATTCGATTTTGTCAAAAACCTATTTTGCGTAAAAATTCCCGTTTTTCCTTCATTTTTATGTTGTTTTTCCCGGCGCTTGGGAACACTATTGGGAATTTTAAATTTTGACCTCCCCAATGCACCAACTTTATTCACTCTCCAATCGAACAAGATACTGAAGTCGAAAATCGAAGCATTATTTCGACTACTTATCGTGTACACAGACACAAAAAAAAAAAACACACATCATTGTAAAATCAATACATTCATCGTTTCACTCAGAACAGGGGCGTCATTTGGGGGGGGTCAGGGTGTGCGGTAGCACCCCTTAATTTTTAAATACTTCCAATTGGCCTGCGCCCTGCTGAAGCCGTGGCCTGCGCCCCGCTGAAGCCTAATAATATTGCTTAAAAGATTTTCCTATCGCATTTGTAGAAACTTTAAAAATTATTTCATTGGCAAAAACTTTACCAATTACAACGGCATCAAATGAAAGGTTTTTTTCATCACTTAAAAGAGTTAAGTCATATTTACGCACTACCATGGGTGATGAAAGACTTAATGATCGGATGGTACTTAATGTTGAAAAAGAAGAAGTTAACAATATAAATTTAGAAGAAGCTGTAGATATATTTGCTAAACTAAAAAATCGACGATATCCGCTTATTTAAATAAAAATTTGTTTTTTCTAGCGCTTTGCTTTTTCCAAAATTATAATAATTATGAAAATAAATGACAATTTATTAATATAGATATTAAGTCCTTTTTTTTATTTGCTGCTGCATTAATTCTTCTTCTAGCTTATTATGCATAAATTATTATTGGTTTTCACTGTTAAGGGGGCTGCAGCCGGTACCAATAATCACGTAAAACAGGCCAAAAGCTAGACAAAACTGTAGGACTTGGGTTGGACGGATTTTAATTTTGAAAACTAATTTGCAATAAAAGTCCTGGTGTTTTTACCAAACGTTTTATAAATAGAAAACAGACGACGAAAATATGTAAAACAAACAGAAAACTTACATATGAACCAAGTAGTAGACGAGTTACCAAAGTTAGCTTACCTGCAGATAAAGACTATGGCAATTGTGAAGAAGATATTTGTAAAGAATTGGATATGGATGAAAATGATTACGAAAAACTTAAATTAGAATTTATGACGAATAAAATTATAAAAAATAGTAATGAAATCAAATTAATTGAAGAATCGACTAAACTTCAATCAGAATGTGAATTATGGCATAAAGAAAGACGAATTCGTTTAACCGCGTCAAACTTTGGAACCATTTGTAAACTTCGACCGGCGACGTCTAGAGCTAATACAATTAAGTCAATGTTGTATAAAACATTTTGCGGAAATGAGCATACAAGATATGGTATTGAGTGCGAACCCTTTGCGAAGACAGAGTTTCAAAAACTAACAGGGCTTAAAATTCAAGAATCTGGCCTTTTCATTTATGAACAACTACCGTTTTTAGCAGCCAGTCCGGATGGACTATTAGATGATAACGGTATAGTTGAAATAAAATGTCCATCTACAATTAAACAATTAACTCCAAAAGAAGCTATAGAAACTGGAAAATTAAAATTTGCAACTATTGACAATCAAGGAAATCTACAGTTAAAAAAAAGTGACAAATACTATTTTCAAGTTATGGGTCAATTACAAATAACTAAAAGATTGTTTTGTTATTTTATAATATGGTCACCTAAAGGTAATTATAATGCTTAAATTACAAATAAATATTGGTAATACTAATAACTATCGTAAATTGATTTCCACGTACGTATGTTTACAGGTATATTATACCAAAAAATTTTAAGAGATGATGATTTTTTCGAAACCAAAATGAAAACATTGCTAGAAAATTTTTATTTCCAAGCGATGTTGCCCGAGTTAATAGACTCAAGAGCTGATAGAAACTGTCGTTTACGTGACTAACCTTTATAGTTACGCTTAAGTTTTTTACTGAAGAAGTTTGTAAATAAACTATAAAAACATAATAATTTGACATTTTGACTTAATATTCATATTATATGGATCGCATTATTTTTTTCTCCAAGATATCTAACTTACAATACTATGTACATTTATGTGAGTGAAATAACGCCGAGTTCTAAATTCTAATTATACATGTGTATATATTTTAATAAATTATTATAGCATAAATACATAATATTAATATGTATAAATAGCAGTACGTAAGTAGTAAGTACCAAGTTGTAATGGTTCATCCTCTCTAGCACTCACTTTCCTCACCTTTTTTATAATATACATGTGTTTCGGTGTATGCGATTGATTGTGTTATTCCTTTTACGTAAAAAAAGTGATTATGTAATTAATGAGTAAAAAAATTGTGTATACAAAAATAGGTTTAGTTATTATAATATAGAATACTAAAATAACCTACTTTTGACAACAATATATTTGGACGGTGTTTGGGAGAAAGGGTTCAAGTCCAAAATCATAGTTTTTCAATAAACGAAAAAAACATAATATATGGTACCCAATCCAAAAATATTCATGTCTTATATTGAATATAATTATTTTATGTTATAATTATTGCAATTTTAAATTCTTTTTAAGTAAAAAAAGAATTTCTTATTGTTTACATGGACTTATGCCCAATGACACTTAAATTCTGAACATTTGCATGTGACTTGTGCCTTTGTTCACTAAAAGTTTGTATGACTTGTGCCCTTATGCACGAAAAATTATATTATAAAAATAACTTAGACCGTTTATCACATAACAGTGATAACATGTTATTGGACTTGGGCCGTTTCTCACAACAAATTATTTCCGTTATGACTTGAATCAAAACGCACTTGAAAATAAATTGATAACAAATGATCATGGATGCATTACAGTTTGACCAATCGATGCGGCACAAAATTTCCTACAAAATCGACTATTTACATCAAAATGACCAAAAATGGACTTGAACCCTTTCTCCCAAACACCGTCCATTTTATGACCCACATAATTAGTCGTTTACGTTTAATTGTTTACGATGTTTGATGTCGACGGCGGGTCGATTCCTGGTAAATATTGAGAGAGATTAGTCTTACACACACTAAGGTTCGTTTACATTGCACACACTTACAAGTCAGTTTAATGCTATCATGTTAAATTGCCTATATTAATTTCCTTAAAACACGATCGACTGCAGCCCCCTTAAGGTAATTAATTATTTATTATATTTTAGTATCTTAATTGATATTTACTATTTATTTTGATGCAATGATTCCGAATTTATTCGGTCCATAATGTATAGAAATAATTGAAAACAGGATAATGCACGTTTGTATATCTATTTTTATATGGCCTGGTGAAATTTCAAAATGGCCTGCTTGAAACCTCGCACACCCGAAAAAAAACCTGAAATGACGCCCCTGACTCAGAATCTAAAATTTGAAAATTGAAAACGTTCGTAGACAGCTCAAAATAAGTCAAAATATTTTGAACATTTTATGGTGTATAGAAAATTAAATTAAATTTACACACAAAACCAAAATCGATTTTGTCAAAAACTGATTTTGCGTAACACAAAAATAAAAAACTCAGAACCCAAAATCAGTAAGTAATATTGTAATATAATATATTTTTTGATATTTACTAAACATTAAACATATAATTTGTAATAATTTGTGTAATAATTATTTTCTTTATATTATACATGAAGAAAAACACATTAAGTACATCATTTATACAATTGTTATATAATATTAATATACCTAATTATTGTTTAGGATTTATCCAACTACATGGTCTGATGGTCAGTGGTTGTTATTCTTCATCATCGTTATAAATAGGAACTCCATCATGACCATTTTTTCCCGAATAGGTAATCAATCGCTTGTATACCTTTACCAACAATCGTCTGATCCATGATTACAGTTTTGGCCACATGCGCTGAATGATCTAAGGCCTCTTGTATAGGTGGCAAATGATTCCAAACGTCCTTTTGCATTTTATCCTTTACTAAGTCGACAAGTTGTGTTTCGATATTAATTGGCACAGCTGTTGCTAAAGCTAAACCAAGTGACACAATCAAAATTATAACGAAATAATTCATAACTTCGAAACAAACAATTACATAAACAACTATAAATTATGAATATAACTTAAAAAAAATTATTAGAATCGACAAATGGTAGTTTACGATTAAAAATTTGAAACTGAATTATTTTAATATTCCCGTCGACGAATATATATGGCAATATACAGGACCTTTTAACCTATTCGATGATTTGACGTCATAAATCTTTTTAATCCGACTAGTTACATTGGCATTGTCCCCACAAAAGAACGCAGCTACTGCTTCTGCTGTCACGTGACAATGGCGTGTGCAACTAGTCCATCGACGGCCTGGCTCGCCGGAAAATTCCCGTCCTATTGAGACTTTCCATTGGCTGTATTAAATTATTATTTTAAATAATTAGTATTGATTACGATTTATTTATACGAACTCGCGTAATACAATAAATTATTACTTGTTTCTAATGACCATTGACCAGAGCCCTATACTTATAGGGGGTGAGATTGGGAGCTAGGAGGAGTATGGTGGAATTTAAATTATTTTAGTCGAACTGCATTCTGGTAATAAGCAGGTAGTGGTCGAACTGCACTTGGACTCAATAAAGGTATTCCAACAAAAATATCATGCATTTGAAGCAGTGATCGGGGGTAGCGCTCTATAATTGTAGCGACGCTACAGTAGCACGCTACTTTAGCTGTAGCGATTAACATAGCGTCGCTATAATATAATAATATTATGTATATACAATTTAGCGAAATACTATAGCGAGCTAGAAATTTACGGTTAGCGTAGCGAAAATGTTCTTTATTTTATCGCTACTTCTAATCTATTTCATGATAATTAAAATATTATGATGTACCTATGTTTATTTATTTAATTAAGATGACTAGATGAGTGTCTTTTTGGAATTTTCGGGTTTAACCCATACCACACTAATCAGCAAGGCTGGACATTAACGAGTTAAAAAGTTAATGTTAATTTAAACTTTTTAACTTAACTAGTTACTTTTGGCTTTTCATTAACTTAACTGTTAACTTAGATATATATATATATATTTACTTAGTAATAGTGTACTTTAGAAGTTTCAAGTACCCACGAATAATATTATACAATCACTACAAAATAACTAAAATAGTTATTCCAGGTTTTTTTTAATGTTATTTCTCCATATTTGAACTTAAAATGACTATAAAAATAAACTGCGTTTATGCATTTTTTAAAATTTTTGGGCACAGAATTAACTACTTAGGTGGAACCTAGTTTTAAATTTTCAATCCCTAGGTATGAAAGTTCAACGTTTTATAAATTTTTAACTACAAAATAATTATTCAATTTTAAATTTGATAAATTTTGTCAAAATTCGATCTTTAAATAGTTATAAAAAAAAATTGTGAACATTCAGTGAAATTTTCATGTACCTATCTACAGTTATTCGTTTTTGAATTACAACAAAATAAGGAAATCGCTACATGAGAAATCCAGTGAATATCCAATGTTGTAAACATTTGAATTTCAAACGCTCATAAAAATTTAATTTGACTTTCTTATAAAATTTTTTTTTTTTTTTGATAAATGTAGGAAATCTTATAAGGAATCTTGTATTACATTTTCATGTTTTAGATTTAAAAAGAAAAATTTTTATGAATTTCTAACTCGAAATAATTTTCAAATTTTCGTGATTTTTCCATATATTTTGTCAATTTTTGAACTTTAAATGCTTATAAAAAAAACTGTGACTAAGAATTTTTAATATTTTTCATCTGCCTTTGAAACAATATAGTAGGACTAGTAGGAGCCTTGTATTAAATTTTCATGTATTTTTACTCAACAAATAAATTTTTAATGATATTCATAAAAAAAAAAAACTAATAAAATTGGAAACTGAAAACGTCCCTAAACAGTTCAAAATAAATCAAAATATGAAAATGTTATCGTGTATAGAAAATGCAAATATAAACAATAACCAGTGAAAAATTCACGTATCTACGGTTATTTGTTTTAAAGTTGCACCAAAAACCAAAATCAGTTTTTCCGAAAACAGATTTTAGTGTAAAAATTCCCGTTTTTCCTTAATTTTTATTTTGTTTGTCAAAACAACTTTTGAAAACTACTGAGAAAGAAAAATATGCATTTGCTAGAACTTCGGAGCTCTGATAATTATTATTTGTCAAACCAATTCAAGTAAGAATAGGTATCGGTTCAATTTTGTTAACAGAAGGAACGGGTGATATAAAAATTAAAAATATAATAATTTGCAAACAATAAATGGAATAATAATTATTTGTTAGACGTAGATGGTACTATATATTATGTGCCGCAATTAAAATATAATTTATTTTTGTGTTGTACAGCGTTAGTTAAAGGTTTAACACTATCGTCAGATAAAAAGAAATGTGGGTTTTCAAATAACGGACAGATAGTCTGTACAAGGACAATTAGTGAGAAACAGGGAAAACTATTTGAATACAAGTTCAAAGTCATCACACTCTGTTTTAAAAGAACCACAAGTGAATATTGTTATCAGGGAAACATTAAGAGTGTGGCTAAGTCATAAAAATATAATGTATGCTAGTATGCTACTATAATATATTTAAAAAAACATAATATAAAATTAACAGATAGGGAAAACCATTTTTGCTGTAGTTCATGCGTAATCGGTAAATAGCACAGACAGAAATATTTAATCGATAATACAACGAACACAAAAGTTGTAGGAGAAATAAAACACGATTGTTTGTGTGGACTAATGGAAAGAGAATCGACTTTAGTATCAAAATATTTTTTTATTATTTAAAGACAATTATTCGCATTATAGAATAGTATATATTTTTAAAAAATCATAAAAGTGAAATGAAGAATTTAATCGAAACATTAATACATAACATGAAAAATTATACAGGTCAAAATATTACGAACTGATAATAACTTAGAGTTTGTAAACAAGGAAATACCAAGGGTTTTACAGAAGTATGGGGGATTAGTCATCAAACAACAGTTCTATGGTAAATTTACAATTCCCCCCCCCCCCGACTGTTTTCGGTCTAGTAGGATATTTTTGATGTGGACATTTCCCCCCATTTTCTAGATTCTGAGTGGAACGATGAATGTATTGATTTTACAATGATGTGTGTTTTTTTTTAAATTTTTTTTGTGACATTTTTTTTAGGACAGTAAAAGTGCTTGGATTTTCTTCAACAGTATCTTTTCTGATAGGAAAGTGAATTTAGTTGGTATTTGGGGGGGGGGGTCTAAAGTAAAAATTTCCCACTAGTTTTCAAAAGTGCCTTGAAAAACAAAAGAAAAATTAAGGAAAAACGGGAATTTTTACGCAAAATCTGTTTTCGAGAAAATCGATTTTGGTTTTTGGTGTAACTTTAAAACAAATTACCGTAGATACATGAAATTTTCAGTGGTTGTTTATATTTGCATTTTCTATACACGATAACATTTTCAAAATATTTTGATTTATTTTGAACTGTTTAGGGACATTTTCAGTTTCCAATTTTTTTAGTTTTTTTTTTCTATAAATATCAATTAAGTTTTATCTGTTGGGCCAAAAAGTGTAAAAATTAATACAAGGCTCCTGATATATTGTTACAATAGCAATTGAAAAATATTAAAAATACATAGGGACAATTTTTTTTTATAAGCATTTAAAGATCGCATTTTGACAAAATTTATCAAAATCTCGAAAATTATCAATCATTGTAATTAATAAATTATAAAATGTTCAGTTTTTATAGCTAAGGATTGAAAATTAAAAAAAAAGATTCTCATAAATAGTTCATACTGTAACCAAAAAATCTAAAAAATATATGAGCACAGTTATTTTTTAGTCATTTTAAGTTCAAATTTGGGACGAAATTACATATTAAAAAACCTAACATACCTATTTTAGTTATCTTGTTGTGAGTGTATAATACTATTCGTGGGTACTTGAAACTTCTAAAGTGTACTATTATATATCTATGATAGTATCAGGGTTTGTTATTGATGTATAACGTGTTATAAGTACCAAATGGATATTGTGATATGATTAATTTGGAATTTATTATAGGTCATTTTTTTTTTTAATACCATAGATATGTATATAATATGTCTTAAACCTAGACTGACATACCGTCTTCGCTCAGAATCGTTTTTCTTATACAATGATATTGTATCATTGAATTCAAGTTTAATACCATCCATTATACAGTGACCCACTTGTAACCTACTGTACAGCAGAGTGACATCCACTTACCCACCTTTTTTTAGTTTTTTTTCTAAAAATATCAATAAAGTTTTATCTGTTGGGCCAAAAAGTGTAAAAATTTAATACAAGGCTCCTGATATATTGTTACAATAATATATTGCTCAGTATAAAAGTCTAAAAATTCTATAGTATTTACACGTACAAGTTAGTAAAATACACAGCAGTAAAATGTATAAAATACAAAGTACATAGTTAGAGAACAACAGCGAAAACATAATATATAAAATAAAATATACTATAAAACAGTTTATAATAATGTGTTTTATTGTATTTTTTTTTTATAATGTACATAAGAAAGCTAACAGGCCTTGGATATCTTGGGTCTGATCGTACAATTTTGCTGCCTTCATAACTGTTGGGCTGCGTGGATTAATGTCAATAACTGTGCATTATAACATAAACAAAAACAAGTAGGTGAATTAAACAAATATACAAAAAATAACAGAATTAAATCTAATAGTAATTATATTATATTGTGTACCTATGTAATGGTTAAAAATTAAATAACTCATACATGACATAAATAAATAGGATATAAGTAAACATAATTTTTTTGAATCAAGTTTTAATTACTATAATAAAATGTATCAATGTTCGATTATAGGGGCATGCTACAGTAATGAAAACAATATCAAAAATGTATCTCAATTATTAATAGTTCAGATTAATTTGATTTAGTGTATGGTCCAACTCAAATTTACTAGTTGTTCATATTTGTCACATTTGTTACATCAACTTTTTTTTTTTTTGAAAAGCATTTGAGGATTTTATCATTAGCATT